GTTATTTTTTCCAATTGCATGTCTTACCGTATATTCGCTGAATGTTTATAGAAGCATTTCACAATGTTTATGTAAGCATTTCACAATGTTGCAGGGAGAAAATGCTAAGAATTCTTTTATTGTCTCAAAAACTAAATTAAAAAAGAATAAGAACATTTCCTTAAGTTTAAACAAACAACCTCATTTTCTCATAGCAGACAAATCATAAACAACCATCGAAAAAGGCGTAAGATAAATAAATAAATAAACTAAATATGCAAGAAGACAAAAATAAGATAAACAAGTTGAGTGTGAATAGCAGTATTGCCAGATGTAAAAGTTGAAATTAACGAATTGGGTAAATAAAATTATCGAACTTTCGGAATTAAGTTACAATAATTGTAATAATTATCTAACAATAATTATTATAATTTAATCAAAAAAAAAAAGTAAAAGAGAAAGAAGCTAACTTTTAGAAATTATAAAATTTGTAAAAGTAAAAAAAAATACCCCCACTGGGAACTGCCTTATCGCAGCGATTGCGGCCTTACGCTCGGCACGAGTGATGGGCTCCTCCGCGGGGGGGGTGCAGCCTCCCGTGGCCTATACGGGGGATGGTCTACACGGCGGTAGTCGTAGCACGATTGCCGTTGAGTGGATTGTCTTCCGGGGGGGCCGCGGGGGGTTGTATTTCTTTGCGGGGGAGTTTATCATGTGTGCTGATTATCGCACCAATGGGAAAAACCATTACCAAAAGGGTAAGAGTAGCCCAATTAAACACTGGGCCCACGTCACTCGTAGACAACGCAACAACATACTACAAGCCACCCTTAAACTAGATCTTAAAGACAAAAAAAATCGGTAGACCATGCTTCACATTTCATGACACGTAGCACAATACATGCACTTCTCACAAAGTAACAAGACCAGTTGGGAGCAACTAAACAACAATAAAAATAAAATAAAAAAAAAAAAAAAAAAAACAACCGACACACTTTACCAAGTTCAGGAACTATCCGACACGGATAATGACAATAATGAACAAGACGAAGACCTCGACTAGGAAACTACACCCCTGCAGCGTAATAACAACTCCCCAACTCCAAATAGTAATCCCAAATGTTTGGAGTAATACTAACCGACTGGTCTAGGGGGATTCCGCGTCGTACTTAGTTTTAAGTCGGCGTAATTGTCCCCCAAAAACCAACTCCCTCCCGTCCCTCATCCATACCTCACTGAGCGTATAGCATAGGCCCGGCGAACCCGGGAACGGCTATTATAACTATTCGCCTCTCGCTCTCGAGCCCCAAATAGGGGACAGTACAGAACGCAATGGACATTCGCACCCAGCAAACACGGGTGAAGCCGTGCAGTTGCTGGGGAAGAACAAAAATCGGCGTAAGTAAACATAGGCCTGTACGGGGTTTAAGAGTCAAGAGGAAATGGGGCTGGTTATACGTCTCTTATACTCATACTCATACTCATAATTTAATCCGCCGCGTAGTTTTGCTTGTTTTTATACAATTTTTGTTTTGATAATTTTATATAATTTTCTGAAAATTTGATCATTTTGTCAACCCTCGTCGATAATATTAATTTTTACACCTGGCAACCCTGTTTCTCTTTGGCCTTGGGTAAGTTGGCACTACTTACAAAGCGAGGGAACGTTTATTCCACAATCCACACAATGTGTGGATTGTGGTTTATTCCTAAAAAACAATATGGTTGATTCAAGCATGGTTGTGCATCTTTACTGTACAAAAACTTGTCCGCTGAGAAGTTTAGACTACGCTTGCCAGAGGCGCTAATGTCGCCAAAATTGTTTTTGTCACCGAGACTACCGTTGTCATAATGACAGTTGTCATAATAATTTGACTTGAAAGAATAACTTAAATTTGTGAAGTATTTATAACCTTTTAAGTTTGTATTGTGCATTCATTATTATATAATAAACCATATGGTTTATTCTTGTTGTGCACGAAAGTGCAAAAGCAGGGGAGATAGTTTAAAAATGCATCGATTTCCAAAAAACGATAAGGAATGTCCCGCTTTTTGCCCAAATAACAAAAAATATGTTGATTCTCTAAGCCCCAAGTATTAAAATTTGTATCTATTGTTCTTTTATTTATAAATTTATTTTACCTTATAGAATAATATTATAGGAATAGGAATGAAATAGTTGGATAAATTCATATGATGTAGATATGATTTTAAGTTGTGTTTTGAATTTTTGCTTTTATATATTTTGTAACTTTGACAAATTAAATAATTACAAAAATGTAGTTTTATTATGTTTTATTATTCCTCTTTGAACTTTCCTAGAAGAATAGTAGAATTATTTATCTAGTGGAGGTAAAAAAGGATCAGTAGGTACCATCCAGTAAAAAAAATTTAAACAATAATTTTAATATATATTTTTGACTACACCCGCTAGATGGCGCAGTAGTCACGGAACAAAAATTTAATACTAACCCCCCGCCCACCCAACCAATCCCTTATCTATGGATTCAAGCGTCCAACTTTTATAATCTGTGGCATTTATACATAGAACAAACCATTTATACTGATAATACTTTGGCTGTGTCAGGTAGGTCAATTTTTGTTTGTTTTTTAATGTTTTAATTACTCAGTATATTCCGTAACGAAGTCATAACACCTAAATGAAGTACCTACATAAGCTCCTAAAATATTGACCTTAGTCATCTGTCTTAAAATTTAATGTGTTTGATTTTATAATAAATGTTTTGAGCAACTTAAAACATGTTTTATTAATTATTAAACCAAAAACCCTTTATGCACTAGTAAAAATAATTATTTATTCTTATATCCGATATTTTAATGCCAGATATATGCCAGACATATGTATGTGTTTCTGCAAAGATTAACTAACAATTTTTTTTTTGATATTCTACTTTTTTACATACATTTATTTTGATTATTAATTATTTACTAAATATATATCTACTATAGTAGTATATTTCTTAAAATTTAAAAGTACAACTAAAATTTTTTGTTTTTTTAATTTTGACAAAATCACATTTCGCATTGAAATATCTGATATCAGTATCGGTAATTATTTTTATCAGTGTATGACCTAATCATATATTATTCAAGAAATATTACGTGATTATTCACGTCAAATTACGTAAATAATTACGTAATATTACGTAATTTTACACGTGAAATCGCTGTGACATATTGTCGTCAATTTTACGACGATAAGACGTGTCTAAGTTGGTGACTTCGACGTCACCGTAGACGTAAATTAAACGTGATATTCACGTCACTGTGTTGCCTGGGATAAATCCAATATTGGCCCCAGATAAAATATTGGGCATAGACGCGCCCCATATAGGACCAATATTTTGTGCTACTGGGGATGTTAGTAGGAACTTTTTTAACAGTTTGTTTTTTTTTAGTTTGGTTTTAAAATATACGTAAAAAGGTATTGGTTAAATTTTTACGTTATTGTTAGGTATCATCGACGTCAAAAAAAGACGTGACAAATTAGTCAAAAACTTGACGTGAATATAACGTGAATAATAGGTGACTTGACGTCCTCGACGAAAAATGCCCTAATAATGACGACAATATAACGTCAGTTTGCTACCTGGGTATAGTTAGTACATATGTCCTATTTCCGGTAGGCACATTTGGGGTAGCCCTTGAGATTATTCTATAATACCAAATGACGTCCTTGATTCGCCCTATTTAGGTAATTATGCGGAACATGAACGGTCATAACAATGACCTCCTTGATTCGTCTTATTTTGGTTATGAAATTCCGGTACATTAACGGTCTTAAAATATTATTTTGTAAATGAAATGTCTGGTACATTATAATGGTCATAGCAATGACGTCCTTGATTCGTCATGTAACGGTCATAAAGATGACGTCTTTCCCAGACTGCAATGAAGGTTCGAAAATATTCCAGGAATATGCCCTATCATCTACGAATAATTCGCGTAATTCTAGGAATATTCATTGGGAATATTCCATAGAATGATCCTCTAAAACTTCCAAGCACCATCTAAGAACATTCCCAGTGAGTATTCATTGTGAATATTTCATAGAACTTCAAATTTCAAGCAAAATCTTGGAACATTCCCAGTGAATGTTCTTCACATTCAAAAACAATAAATTGGTTAAATTCCAGGAATATGCGCTATCATCCAGGAATAATCCGCTTCATTCTTGGAATATTCATTGGTAATATTCCATAGAATGATCCTCTAAAACTTCCAAACACCATCTAAGAACATTCCCAGTGAATATTCATTAGTTTAGTTGGAATACCTCTCACCGTTGCATACGCACGTTTGATAACTATATATACCGATAGGTTAATAAATTCAGTTGGAGATGTGCGTCTGTGATGGCACAGCTAAACAATGATTTTATTTTTTAAAGAATGATTAAAGTGGTAATCAGGCCAATTCACTAACATGAATCGTTAACGTTAACCACTAGAATCAGTGGTTATCGGGCAATCCGGCCAATCAGGCCGTTTAAATATAATGATAACCACTGATTCTAGTGGCTAACGTTAACAACTTATGTTAGTGAATTGGCCTGAACGATCTACTCAGTAAATAATAATAGCTAGTGAAGTTTATTTTCTGGGTATAAGTGATTGATTACATTTGATTACGACAGTAATATTCCTGGGAATATTCTGGTACGCTTCTCGACGTCTATCTGTTTGCTGACAAGAGTTATAGTTAAACTTAAAGTTATGGTCTGTCCATAAAAGATACAGATTTATCATTAAATAGAATAGATAGTTAATTCGAGACAAATCACATTTTTTTCATATTGTGGGTTAGGCTACCTTAGGATAAGGCGACGATTTATTTATTTACTGTTTAATTAAAATAATCTGCAAAATACATTGCTTTCCAAAGTTGGATACAATTATTACGAAATTTTATTTTTTAAAAACAATAATTGATTAAAATTAATTAGGTATTTCTTTTTAATAAAAAAAAACATAAAAAAACAGGTTAAGAATTGATATTAAAAAGAATAAATATTCGATTTATAACTGTTTAAATCAGTCCAGTTAAATCAAGTCAAACCATAAACATGTCTCCAAAATTGTACATGACCCCCGCAAGCTCCCCAGTAAGGAGTGTTTTATTGGTGGCCGAAGCAATAAATTTAAATTTGGAAAATCTGGAAGTCAATCTTATGGACCAGGATCAGCTAACTCCTGAATTTTTAAAAGTAAGTTTACTATTATTACACATTTAATTTAATGGTGTTCTTTTAAGAACAGTTTTGGTTAACTTTTGAACCCGTTGATCTTTAAATTAAACGCGAACTACTTTTTTTTTACTTCCACCTTTAAAACACCCATTATCGTACATGTTTCCATAATACTAAGTGACCTTTTAAATACACATTGACAAGTTGAGGCTTTATGGGGCTTTAGTCTCGAGCTAAAGTTAGCAACAGCTCATGGATTGAAGTTAGTTTTAAGTTAGTTGTGTCATACAAGCGTTACAATAAAGTACCTTTCTTGTAAAATAATACTATATGTGAAAATTATTTTATTATCTCAACACAAAAATACAAAAGCATTAAATAATTTTTTGACACCAATATTTAATGAGATTTTATGAACGTTTGTACCTTTTAATTTAGACGTAGTAGTGCAGTACCTAAACTAGATTTAACTGATAAAGCATTAAAAATTTGCGTACAGTGCACATAAACTATTCTCTTATCTTTTAATGTGAAAAACTGCTCGATTGTTAGTATATTTTTAAGGCATAAATTGAGATTTTAACGCCGGCAGAATTCCAATTCCATTCTAACAGAAATTCCAATAAACACAACTGTCACTTTTTGTAACTTTAACATTTCCCATGTAAGAATTATTAATACATTTTGCAATTATAGTTATAAACAAAATCAAAGCATAAAATATTTTCTTAACATAATCATATTTTAAAGGTATTTTAATATTTTAAAGTATCAATAATTGTTAAATTTAATTAAAATAATATCGGGCAATGATAATGGTGAAAATTACGTTAAAAATGTTTATTGGGATGGTAACTTTATTTTTGCATATATGTTGCTTTATAAAATATTTAAGTCAAAACATTTTTTAGATAATATTACGTATTTGTCGTGGAAAAAGTATAGTATAAACCTTTTTAGGCACTCATTTAATTAAGTACTCTCTCGCAAGCTCGCTCGTGCAAAATTAAATTTGTAACTAAAATTGCTTTTATCAAACTTGATACATAATATACTATTATTATTAACTTTTAATTCAGCAGTTTTTACAAAACACCAGTTGCTTTTTAACAAAACATTTTTTACAACTTTACTTTTCTTCTACTGGGAAACATAAGTTGCTCTGTGATACATTGTTACCAACCATAAAAATAATGTATATTCCAAAAATAATAATTGGTAATTTGCCAATGCTTACATAGGTGGCGCTAGTACAACCAAAATAATATCTACAGCCCGGTAACGGGAACGGGAACTGGAACCTAAACGGTAAAGGTGGGAGAGACTCATCTAACCCTATCTATCAACAGTGGTTTTTTAGTTTCTCCCACCTTTAATGTTAAGATTCCCGTTCCCGATACAGGGCTATTGTGCAGCGGGTTTTAGTCGACAGATCTTGATTTAATTTTTATACGAAAAATGTTCTAAAAGCTCAATTTTTATTTACAGATTAACCCTGAACACACAGTACCAGTTTTAAATGATGATGGTTTTATCTTGGCTGACAGCCATGCCATTAATGTTTATTTGGTTGAAAAATACGGAAAAGACAGCAACTTATACCCAAAGGACATCAAGGAACGTGCCATCGTAAACCACAGGCTTCATTTTGATAATGGAACACTTTTTGTTAGAATGGCAAACATTATAGTACGTATAATAATGGATAATTGTGTAATTTTACCAAGTGAACAAATCGAACCATTTCTAATGACTTTGGAATGTTAACATTCTTTAACATTCTGGTCATCAGTTGAGTATTCGTTCGAATGTTCATGTTTACAAAACAAAATTTTGACCGTTTCGTTCCAAAGTGAAGATATAGAAAAGGTCGATTCTGAACTTCCCAAACCAATATTCTATTCTTGTTTCAGAGATCAATATTTTTCAACAATGAAAAATCCATCTCCCAAGATAAAATCGATGCAATTTTGGAGGCCTACAAAATTATGGAAACATTTTTGCAGCATGGACCCTGGATGGCCGGTCAAAATATGACAGTTGCTGATTTAGGAATGATTGCTACTGTTTCTAGCATGGATATGTTAGTTCCAGTAAAGAAAGATGAATGTCCAAAACTGGCTTCTTGGATGGGCAAAATGGAAGCTTTACATTTCTACTCTGCTAACAAGAAAGGACTTGAAATGTTGGCTGCCCTTGTAAAAGCGAAATTGGAAAATTAATTGTACTTTGTTGTCTTTTACATGTAACGAATACATTTTTATAATCACGCTTTAGTTTAAATAGACCCACAAACGTTTGCCATGATTCACAAAGTGAGTGTGAGAAATAATCATTGCAAGACTTATCAAGGCACTTTTTTTATATGAATTTAGTTCAAGATTATTCCGCGTAGAGGGCAGGACTGTTATACACAAACCAGGATTATAGGCGATTAGGTATATGAAGACCATACGGTGACGACGTTAATGGTCCCGAAATTTTGGCAACTGTGTACTCGTTAAAAAATAGATTTATGGATTTAATTAAATGTAATGTAACATTACTAATGTTTAATGTTTAACTCTCAGTTGGTGGGCGGGCTACAACGGTATTTAAAGCTTTTTTAAACAGTTGTAACTTAGTTAATAATAGTGAAATGCACACATTATTTTTAGTACATCTGAGCGCTTTTATTAAAATAAATGCAGTTATTCTAAAACCATAGTCTTATTGACAATTATTAATTATTAATTATTATTAGTTAAATTAATAGTTAAATAATAATTCTAATAAATAATAACAAAGTTATAACAAAAAAAACTTGGTAGGTACCTTGGTCTTGCCATGTGCACCGAGTGTAAAAATGTAAATTTCTTGAAAGACTGTAACTTTTTTGTTTTTATAAATTTTTTCAAATTTTAAAGTTTGCTTTAAATAATTATCTAGGTTTTATAATTATTTATCATATCATGAAAATTTTATTGTTTGACATATACCTAGTTCTGGTTTTTAGGGAATTGTATGTCCAAACGTACAAAATAAACCTTAAAAATATTATATTTTTATTGTTTTTACTTCTCTCAAAATAAATAGTAAAAACCGTGACAAAGTAATATGTAATGTACAGTGGCGTAGCTAACCTCGAGGGGGCCCTGTATCGAAAATCTGGCAAAAAAATTTGGTATAATTTTTTATAATTTAATAAATAATATATGTACCTATACATAGCTTATTATGTACAGGCAAATTTTAAAATTTGGTCTAGTTTTAGACATTTACCGTTCTTCTCAGCTAACATTGCTTGAGTTCAAACAAAACTCAAATCTTGATTTATCAAGTTTTGATGTTGTCTTGAGCTCACATTGATTTAAATTTTTGAGGTTAAATCAATGGTTGAGCTCACATTGATTTTAATTTTTGAGGTTAAATCAATGCTTGAGCTTACATTGATTTCACCTCAAGAGTTGAAATCAATGTGAGCTCAAGTTTTGAGTTAACCCCAAAAAGTCGGTCCAAGGTTTGTAGTCATAATTTATAAATTTATATACATATATGTATAGGATGGATAAAAAAAACCTTATGGGTATACTTCTGTTAGTATTGTAAATCCATATCAAATAATGGCAGGCTTTTGCAATGGTTTAAAATATAATTTTAATAATAATAATTATTAAAAATACAATAATTGAACCAACAAGGATTCAATTTTTAAAAAATATAATATTTATTAAAAATATAATTTTAATAATAATAAATATTATTATTAATATTATATTTTTAAACAATTACAAAGCCCGCCATTAATTGCAATTGCAAGCTTTCGCGAATCGCGGGCTACTTTACCGGCTTTATTCAGAGATTTTTTCGTGCGTCAATACGCAAATTATTCTTGTGTCGTTAAAGTTAATATTAAAAATAAATTGGTAAGTAAACTTAAAATCCGTTAGTTACTGTTTTCTTAAGGAAAACATTGTAAATAAATACAACAAAATCAGGAGAAAGTGAGGTTATAATAAAGTTTGTTATTAATGAAATTTACATAATTGGAGTAGATAAAGCATAGTATTACACTCGAGATAATGCGCATTATTAACTCGTGGATAATAGGCTGCATTATCTCTTGTATAATATTATATAATATACTATTATTTTTAATTTCCACAGAATTGATGCTTTGTATGAGGGGACCAGTTTTGACGCAAAAATTTCCAGCATCCAACAGTTGAAGGGATTTCCATTGAAAAATTGGGCAGAATTTAACCAGTTCAAGTCCAGTGAAACACTTAATGAAAGAAAAAGTCTGGTGGGTTGAAATAAGATTTTTAGGTAAATGAACTGCAATAAAATTTTATCTTTAATATAAACACTGGCACACATTCAACATATTATGTTGAATGTGTGCCAGTGTTTATATTAAAGATAAAATTTTATTGCAGTTTATTTACCTAAAAATCTTGGTGTAAATATGGCTCTTAAAGAAACGATAACTGATATTTTGACAATGGAGTTCACCTTTCTGGGAAATAATAATAAAAGGGCCTTCATTGATACAAATTACAGCTCTTAAAGAAGCGATAACTGATATTTTGACAATGGAGTTCACCTTTCTGGGAAATAATAATAAAAGGATACAAAATTATATCACATTGTAAGTCAATGTTTTCATCCTTTTTTCATTAAGTTTTAGTTTTCATTGGCAATTTCTTCTGTCTACAGTTGCTGTATAGGGTCTTGTTTTGAAGGCCCCACATCAAATAAAGAGTTCTTGCCACACATTCAAGAAGCATTAAGAATCAACAGACAACGTGAGGCAAACAAATTAAAAAAACAGCAGAAAACACCAGAAAGTGAAGCAACAAATGATCCTCAAAACTATAGTTTTGTATACAGAGTCAATAAGGATACTGTTGAAAAGGAGCAAATTTAAAAATTGTTTTTTTTTGTATATTTTAATATTTTGTTTATAAATTTTGGTTGTGTTTTAATTGCCTATTTTATTTTTTGCAAGAAAACCTAAATAACTATATAATTATGGGTTTTGAAAGGCAAAAGGACTGTTTATTTGATGCAAACATATCCAAATTTAAAAAAATTATCAATTTAAATGCTAGCATTTAAGTTGGTAATTATTTAGATGTGTTTGCATCAAATAAACAGTATTTTTTCCTTTCAAAACCCATAACTTGATTTTTTCAAATATTTGAATTAATCCGCCAAAAGTAGGCAGCGCATGCGCGCATCCGATTCGAATTTAATCGAAAATCAAGGTTTGATATCACATTGAGCCCAAATGAGGAACCAACTTGATATGTTTTTGACCTCAAAGCTTGATGTATAAAATCAAGTCTTGAGCTCGCATTGATATCAACTTGAACACCACTTTGTTAGCTGGGTTTAACATCTTTAACATCTTCGAAGTATAAACAATTAAATAATAATATCATTTATTTATTTAATTTCATGCCTCAATTTTTTAACATGTGGGTAATATATATTAAACATATGTTTTTTGTTTACGCATATCGAAGCCAATCGTGACCCCCCTATCCTGGGGCCCCTTATCATTGATACGGTTAATACCGCGATAGCTACGCCCCTGGTAATGTATTAAGAATACACCAATAAAGATACTTACTCATGAGTTTTCAAAAAAAAATGCATATTTCATGTAAGTATGGTGCAAACTGATCCCGAGGGTTGAGCATACCTACCGGGCGCGTCTCCAGGTGGTGGATAGGAGGAGTCCAGGTAAATCCTGGAAACAGGACACCTGGCAACGGTGAGCCATAGGTGAAGTGCCGTGGTCTAAAACCCACGCGTCATGGAACTAAAGCTCGTCGCGAACCAGCTCGTGGCACAAACCGTAAACCGCTCTTGGTACAACGACCCCCGCAGGATCCTCCCCGGAACAACGCGGGGTACGTATCATGAGGGGCACGGGGGGCTTGGCTTAATTGCCCAGCCCGCGTGGTGAGAACACTATAACTTCTCCCAATTCTTAAAGTATGGTTCGCGCTTATGAGATGCAAAGCTGGGGGGAAGCCCAGTTCCTAGCGACCACACCTGGGGAACCTGGCGCACCTCAGAGTTATAAATGCCTTACTCCTGTATGAGGCACTGCAGGAGAACGACCCCAATACTTCCTCCTTACTCGTGGGACCAATATGGACACTGTAAAAAATAAAGGAAAACCGGCGGCGGGTAGCACCACCTCCAAGGAACCGGATGAGGTTGAAAAACCGAAATCTGAGGCCCAAAGGCGGAGGGCTAAGCGCCAGGCCGCTCTAGAGAAGGCAAAGACCGCAAGGTCGAGCCAAAATCTTGGGGAAGGGCCTTCTAGGACCACCCCAAAAGTAGCAGTCCCAGCTCCTCAAGCAATGGCTAATCGTCAAAATACCCGAAGAGGGGAAAGGTCCTCAGTTCGAGGGCACATACTACGGGGGAGGAGTGCTATACCTTACATGCGCCAACGAGTGGACCAAAAGTTGGCTCGCTGGTACAATGGGGGAAGCATCTCCATGGGAAGGAGCCCAACTCCAAACTTTGGAAGCAAGCAAACTTCCGTAAAGGTCCTCGGATACTTAACCGAGGAAGTACAGGACAAGGACCGGTTCCTGCGAACGCTGGGCGCTCAAAACCAGCTAGAGACCGGGACTTGGAAACTCCTGTCCAACAGAAAGGTCGAGGGAGGCACTGGCTACCTAATGACCTTACTGATGGATGAACAGTCCTGGAAAAAAGTGGGGGGGAAGAAAACCCTGTACCACAACCTAGGCTGGCTAAAGATCAGAAGGATCACCGGGAAGGAGCCCGAGAAAAAAGAAGAGGGGGAGCTCATTGAGCAGACCCCAATGGACGAGGAACCGACACCAGGTTCCTCGTCCACTGCTACAACCCAAAGTGAAGGAGAGGGGGAGCCCACTGGGCAGACCCCAACAGACGAGAAGGCCCCACAAGAGCCCTCGTCCAGACTCTAATCGCCCCGCATGGTAGTGAGGATAATACAGATCAACCTCCACCACTGCAGGGCAGCAACAGCGGCCCTATGCAAGTATATGGCCGCTGACGAGATTGCCCTTATTCAGGAACCTTATGTGTACAGGGGCCAGATAAGGGGTCTGGGGGGTCTCAGGGGGAGGCTTGTTTTACCCCCAAATGAGACGAACCCAAGAAGTTGTATTCTCGTCAGAGGTAACATGGATGCTATGCCACTGTGGCAGGGACCCGGACCGAAATGAAATATCGGTTCCGGTACGGTTTTGGTTCACCCTATTTTCGTTTTAATGGTTCCGATTCCGGTTTCGGTTTCGTGGAGTTATAACGGTTCGGTTCTTTTCGGTTTCGTGGAGTTATAACGGTTCGGTTGT